AACAATTTCCCTGCAAACAAGTGACATTACTGTAGGACTGCATAATTCATACTGTCTGATGCGGTGCATAAAAATTAAAATAATGTGTGTGTGTGTGTGTGTCTATATATATATATATATATATATATATATATATATATATATATATATATATATATATGTAATGTTCAGACAAGAGAAAGGAAAGTGGCGATACAACCAAGGAAGTAGGGTACAGCAGAATTGGGTTAAGTTTTACTGGGCTTCACGTATTGGGCCTTCAGAAGTGAAGAGTATTGGGACTTTGGGGCCTTTAAGTTAAGAAGGCAGAGTCCAACACACTATTATTCAATTAGTCCAATTAGTAGTTAGAGTCGGTTAGTTAAATAACAGATCGGTAGAAAAGTGGGTATCTTTTAGCAATAACAGAATTCCCAACTACTTTCTCTCTCTACTTTCTTCTCTTCTCTTCTTCTTCTCCTTCTTCTATCTAACCTACATTTCTATTTCTCTCTGAGTTCACTCAAGTCAGTCGAAGTTCATATTGTAATCATTGGATTGTTGATCAATAAAGCTTAGTTCATTCCTTGAATTTCCTTTTTCAATTTAGTACATTAAAAATTGGTATCAGAGCATTTCCTGGCTACAATGACAGTTCCAGAAACTCGTTCGAAGTATAATGAAGACTATGTGAAGAAATTAGACAATTAGTTACAGAATTACATGGCAGAGACGAATAAAAAATTGGAATCGAGTGATTCTAAGATCGATGAAGTTGGAAGGAAGCAGGATGTGATGATGGACAGACTTTTCACGAGCAAGGATGGAATATTGGGGAGTGCTCCAGTCGAAGTCAATCACATTGAGGGCTCCAGTAGTCGACCCAGATTTACGGAGCAGAATGAGTATTCTATTGGTAGAAAGCAAGGAAATAACCATGGACATAGGTTTGAAATTCCTTATTTTGAAGAAGGTAATTCCAGATCTTGGCTCCGAAAGTATGAAAGATACTTTCACTTCAATCAGATAACTGATCCTCAGGAGAAGTTGGAGGCTGTTGTCCTTCATCTCAATGGGAGAGATGAGTCCTGGTACTTTTCTTACCTTCTGAGCAGAGGTAGTGTGAGATGGCCTGAGTTTGTAGAAGAAATCGGTAAGAGATTTCAGGAGTCTGATAATAGTAATCTTAATCTCTTAGGGGAATTCAAAAGAATTGAGCAGCAAGGATCAGTGAATGATTACCTGGCAAGATTTGAAGATTTGAAGGCTTGGTTCTTGATTAAACACCCCACTATCCCTGAAGAATTCTTCCTTGGATTCTTTATTGAAGGACTCAAGGATGAAATCAGGCACATAGTTAAGATGCTTGATCCCTTTTCCTTGAGCCAAGCAGTGGAGAAAGCTAGGCATAAAGAAAAGCTATTAGAAGCAGTAGCTAAGAAGGGTAAAGTAAACACTATTAGGCAGCCAGTACAGTACAACAATAATAATAGTCAATCAGGAGTGAGAACATCTGGGTTCTAACAGAAGGAAGGGGGATCTACTTCCTACAATATGGGCAACAAGTTGTTTGAGGCAAGAAGAGCAAGAGGTGAATGTTATAAGTGTGGAGAGAAGTATTTCCCTGGTCATCAATGTAAGAATAAACAGTTAAATGTATTGTCTGGGTCTACTGAACTGGGAGGTAGAAATAAATGTTGATGAAGAGGGTATAGTGGAGGAGCAAATTCAGGAGACAATAATTGATGAGGCCATAAGTCTCAATGCCTTATCTGGGACAGTCACATCTACTACTATCAAATTGAAAGGAGTGTATGGTAAACAAATCATGGTGATATTGGCAGATAGTGGTAGCACCCATAGTTTTGTAGCAAGTGAAACTGCAAAACAATTGCGGTGTGTGATTCAAGTAGATGCTCCAATGAGAGTTACATCTACAAATGGGAGTAACTTGATGAGTTATCACTCTTGTCCTCAGTTCAAATGGAAAATACAAGGCATTGAATTTGAGCACAAGCTGAAAATGTTAGACATTGGGGGATGTAATATGGTACTAGGAATGGATTGGATGAGAAAGCACAATCCTATATTGTTTGATTTATTGGATATAGATTGCAGGTCAGTGTGAAGGGAAAGAGAGTAGAACTGAAGGGTTTTTCTGAAGAGGGGTATGTCAGCTACAGGAGTAAAGCAGCTACTCAAGAAGGGCAAATTGTTATGGGCTCATCTCTTCACATTACTGCTCAGTCTACTACAAAAGAAGGAAGCATACCTGAACAAATTAGAAGGCTGATGACTGAGTTTCCAGGAGTTTTTGCTGAGCCAAAGTCTCTGCCACCACAGAGGAGTCATGACAACTTCATCCCTCTCAAATCATATGCATCTCCAGTCAGCATTAGACCCTACAGGTATAACCATTTTCAAAAGAATGAGATAGAAAAATAAGTGACTGACATGCTTAATAATGGTACCATTCAACTTAGTCATTCTTCTTTCTCATCACCAGCGTTATTGGTTAAAAAAAAGGATGGTAGTTGGAGGTTTTGTATAGACTACAGAGAATTAAACAAAATAACTGTGAAAGACAAATTTCCTATACCTCTAGTAGATGATCTCATGGATAATTAATGGTTCATGCATTTATTCAAAGATTGACTTGAGGGTTGGTTATCACCAGATTAGGATGAAGGAATCTGACATATACAAGACTGCATTTAGAACTCACTTGGGACATTATGAGTTCAAAGTTATGCCATTTGGGTTAACTAATGCACCTGCTATTTTTCAAAGTTTAATGAATCATGTATTCAGGCCTTTCCTTAGGAAGTTTGTGCTGGTATTCTTTGATGATATATTGGTGTACAGTCCTTCAGTGGAGAGCCATGTTATGCACCTCAGGCAAGTGTTAGAGGTGCTATAGAAAGAGCAACTTTATGCCAAGTTGTCTAAATGTGCTTTTGGTCAAAGTCAAATGGAGTATTTGGGGCACATTATCTCAGGCCAAGGGGTAGCTACTGACCCTGCTAAGATTGAGGCCATGTCAATTGGCCTGTTCCCAAATCTATTAAGTCTCTTAGAAGATTTTTGGGTCTCATTGGTTACTACAGGAGATTTGTCAAGTCTTATGGAATTATCAGCCGAAGAACTCATTTCAGTGGTCTGAGGAAGCTGAAACACCCTTCAATCAGCTAAAAACAGCCATGTCTTCAGCTCCTGTTTTAGCCTTGGCTGACTTTACGAAGCCATTTATTGTAGAGACTGATGCTTGTTCTACAGGGATGGGGGTTGTCTTAATTCAAGAAGGTCGACCAATAGCTTACTTAAGCAAGGCTTTTTCAGTACAGAACAGGGGATTATCAACTTATGAGAAGGAATATATGGCAGTTTTAACTGCAGTGGAGAAATGGTGACACTATTTACAAGGAGGTCATTTTATTGTAAGGATAGATCATTAAAGTCTTAAGTACTTGTTAGAGCAAAATATTACCACAACTCTGCAATAAAAAGAGTTGACTAAACTTCTAGGCCTTGACTATAAGGTACAGTATAAGAAGGGCACTGAAAACAGGGTAGTTGATACATTGTCAAGAAGACAAGATCAAGAGTCCACTTATTGGCCATCTCTACTGTTCAACCTACTTGGTTACAAGAGATCAGCCTCAGCTATGAAGATGATCTTATTTCCTTAGCATTGTTGGGTGAACTAGCTGCCTCCTTAGACAGTAATTCAGATTATTCATTACAACAAAGGGTGATCAGGTATAAGCACAAAATCTATGTGGGAAGAGGGGCCAGCCTAAGGAGTAAAATTCTAGAAGCAATGCATCAATCACCTCTTGGTGGTCATTCTGGGCAGCAAGGTACTTACAGGAGGGCACAGCTGATTTTTCTACTGGCCTAACATGAAATCAGAGATTTCTAAATGGGTGAGTGAATGTGATATTTGTCAGAGGATCGGGTCTGAAAATGTGCACACCCCGGGGTTATTACAACCCCTTCCTATCCCAGAACAAGTGCGGCAGGATATATCTATGGATTTTGTAGAGGGATTACCTTATTCTACAGGGAAGAATGTTGTGTTAGTGGTGGTGGATAGGCTGTCCAAGTATGGACATTTCTTAGCCTTAAAACATCCCTTCTCAGCACAAGAAATGGCAGAACTATTCAGGAAGGAGGTGTATAGATTACATGGACTTCCCAGGTCTATTGTTTCAGACAGAGGTTTTTCACTAGTCATTTTTGGCAGCATTTATTCAAAATAATAGGGACTAGGCTTAATATGAGTTCAGCCTATCACACTACTACAAAAAAGACCTTTAGCGGCAATACAAAACGGCTTTAGCGGCAATAACTATAGCCGCTATATCTTTTTTCAGCCATTAGTGTTTTGCCGCTAATGCCGGGGTCGGCAAAGCCTTTAGCGGCTTTTGTCGCAAAAGCTGGTAAAAGGTATGGTTTATTGCCGCTAAAAGTTATTATCTTTAATGGCAATTGTTTGCGGCAATTATAATGGCTACTAAATCCAATCCAAAACGGCCAACTATACTTCTTTAGCAGCTATTTTTATAGCCGCTACATTCAAACTAATTGCTGCTAAACGTTTGTATCTCTAACGGCAATTATTTGTGGCAATTATAATGGCTACTAAATCCAATCCAAACGGCTAATTATACTTCTTTACCATCTATTTTTATAGCCACTAAGTTCAAAATAATTGCCGCTAAACGTTCGCATCTCTAGCGGCAATTGTTTATGGCAATTATAATGGCTACTAAATCCAATCCAAACGGCTAATTATATTTATTTACCATCCATTTTTATAGCCGCTAAATTCAAAATAATTGTCCCCGAAAAATTTGCATCTTTAACGGCAATTTGTTTGCCCGTTTAGCGTCCATTTAGTAGCTAATATGTTTAACTAAATTGCTGCTAAAAATCAATATCTTTAAAAGTCACTAGCGATAATATCAATAATTTGGCGACAATTAATAATAGTTACTACATTTCTATAAAATATGACCTAAATAATAAAATATATTAATATTAATTCAAAAGAATATAATATATCTCATTAAATCTTAACAAACAAAAGGAAGTACTAATCGAAATATTAATATCATCGTAACTTAAAACATAAAAATATATTCTTTGGACTAAATAGCTAATGTCATCATAGTAATAATCCAGAATGATGGTCTTTAAATGATTTCCGCAACTTCTCATCATTTTGAAATCTTTCAACTGCTAAATTATCGAACATCAAACTGTATGACCTGAAATTATAAAATAATTGTGTTAAAGGATAAAGTATAATATTGAAAAAACATCTTGAAGATTCCATCACCGTTAGATACTTTGTCAGTCAAACACTGCAGGCATTGAGGAAGTCTCAAGAATTTGAGTACAGACTTGCTGAGGAAAAGCTTTTTGCTCAAAAGAACTATATCATGAATCTATACGAACAGCTTGACAAGAAAAGATCAGATCTATCAAGCCATACATCAATGGTTGAAACAGATACCTTACTTGATGTTGTCCTGAAAAGAGTAGACCAAATAAAGCGAGAAATTTCGAAACTGAAGGACATGAAACAAGTGCAAAATGGATTTGGAAGAACTTCGAAGCAAATACTCAAGGATTACTTTGGTCTAGAAATAGAATCGTCTTAAGCAAGCTCTGCCCTTTGTATCTACAACAAATACGCTAACATCTATAAGCAGAAACAACTACATTCTTTTGATCATGCATAACGAAGAATCCAAATCTTAACATAACGAAGAACCTGGTCAAGCTTCAGCTATTATTTGAACATCAATGTACCAGAGAGATACAAGTTACACAACCAAACAAAATGTTCCAGATTTCACGAATCATAAATCAACAAGTAGAACAGATTTGATTGCAGTTGTTACTCAAAATTTGGCTGCTACAGCTGTTACTCAAAATTTGGGGGGAACATAGGTTGTTAAGGAGCAGGATGGAAATCTGCGACAACATAAGGAAGGTGCAGATCTTTTAAATCAGTAAAACCAGTAGCTAAGGGTGATGTACCTGCTACTACAGCACTCTCGAGGTTGTACAAGGCTGTGAATTCAGCTATACAACCTAATACTATGTTTTCAATAGGCACAAAGAGCTACTGTTAAAAAATTCCAAGCACGAGGAAAAGAGATAAAGACAACAGAGCTAAGTTAAGCATTTGTAAAGTTAAGCGCCAAGTTAAGCATTTGTAAATGAATAGCACAAATCTTAAGTATCTAGTAGTGCTAGTGTCAAGAAGGAAACTCCAAGCTCTTTATCTATCTAAGGTAGGTTAAAACCTGTTGATAACTTACATTATTCTGACATGCTGGAATATGAGACATGACGGCATAGAGCCATGTATTTGCACTTGTGCAACTGCATGGGAAGTTGGTCTCTAGCAATCAATGATCAAGAGATATAACTGCTATTACAGTAGTTATTCAACATTCCAGTCCCAGCATCTTCAATGCAAAAGAAATTTACTAGGAACAATGTCCAGTTGTTGCAGCTTTTGCCAAAAGTTGATGCATACTTGTGCCAATAAACAAGCATCTTTCTGATTGCCCTGTGACAAAGTAGAATCTTATATGTTTATTCCAAGATGGGGATATCTTACAGATTTGGTAGAGGTTTAAAATCCACTGTTTGATTGGCTAATGCATACTTGTGCCAATAAACAAGCATCTTTCTGATTGCCCTGTGACAAAGTAGAATCTTATATGTTTATTCCAAGGTGGGGATATCTTACAGTTTTGGTAGCAGGCCACCTAAGAGGCTCATATGTATTTGCATTTCTCGAAAGGGACATATGGCTTAATTCTTTTAGTGTTTCTTTATGTCTTCTTTTTGTTAATATTATCTGCAAATACTTACATTTCCAGGTAGAGAAAGAAAAGCAGGCAGCTCCTTCCCTGCAGTTGAACTTTATAAGGTTACTAGCTGATCTCAAATTTTCAATTAAGAGGCCTGAAGTTGTGGATGTGATATTGCCTTTCTTCATTGAAAGTTTAGAGGAGGGTGATGCATCAGTACCAGGCTTATTGAGACTCCGAGTATGAAACTCTCTTTTCATCAGAAACTGCACTTGTATCTTTGCTTCATTTACTCAAAACCACAGAGAGCATGGTTCGATATTTAGCATTTTTATGATATTGAGTTTCATCACTGCATTCACATTGGGAAACAAGATGGATCCACAGGCTTTACCGGTTGAATATGTTGAATCAATTACAAATGAGTGAAGTTAGCAAAGATGGGTAAGAATGACAAGATCTATCAAACATGCACAAAACTTGCTGGGAATATAAGGGGAAAAGTTAATCCTGCTCTAACAAGGTAGATATACACCAGTACAATTTTGGGGATCTATCAGTAACTTTTGCTAGAGCAGTATGGCCCTGAATGCTGAAATGAGCTAAAGAGCCAAATCTACCTAGTGGCACAGGCTTAAATAAGCAATAAAGTGAATGCAAATAGGTGCAGGGAGGAAGAGTTAACACAATGCTGGACAATGTTGGAAATATCGGTGGCAACAACAATAGTACTGATAATTTCTTGTACAACTAGGTAAAAAGAGCATTGCATAAAGAGAAACACAATAAAGGCAATACACATGACAAAATAGAAACACAGTGCAGAAAAGAGACCAGAAATGGGTAACTTCACCGTATTATTCGAGGCAATGAAGTCGTAGGAATGTCATCATAGGAGAATGAATCATAAGCTGATTTTTCTCCTGTACCAGCTTCTTCTGCAGCAATTTTGACTTGCAGCTGCTGTATTGTTGCCTTTCATAATCCAAACATTATTCAAGAAAATCAATTATATAAGCAAAGAGATGAAAAATCTTTTACTACAATTTTCAAGAACATAAGCACTGAGTACAAAAATGACCTACCAGAGCCGCAGAACTACGGGGATACTGAAAGGAAATATGTCTGTCTTTGTCCAAACAGCTTGTCTGCAGATGAAGACACAATAGCCATCAGAGAAGATGGTTCCTCTTGTTATTCTTTTTTTCTTCCTTTCAATCAGAAATACTTCAGCAATGCCCTTTCAGCATCATTTGCCCAGAAGAACTAGCCTCTGCATAATATCTTGCAATGCCCACTATGAACGGATTCAACATCATGAAACACTAAGTGAAAACAGTCTACCTAGAAGACGCAACCTCTCTACCAGATATGTGAAGAACCAATGACTTGGTTATCAAGCCCTATACTTATGATTAAAATAATAAAGGATCAAAAATTGCCCGTTCTCACTTCCAGAATTACTGAAGATAATATAAAGGAGCAAAAATATCTGCCTTAACTAACAAAATCCAACTCCAAATTGAGTAATGCCTCAGAGAAGGCATATTGATTCAGAGCTCCCGATGTAGTCAAGTGAGCAAATAATGGAGATAGATCATATCCAGATTCAACATTTGTATGGAAGATTTGTCGTGTTTTTAATCTGAGAATGCAGTGACGAAACTCAGTATCATAAAAATGCTAAATATCGAACCTGGCAAGTTTAGGTTTTGAGAAGTCCTACCATGAAGCTGTTGTTCTGATGACAAGGAGTTACTTAAGTAAGCTTGATGTTGTTGGCTCAACTAAAAGTAAGACCGCAGCTCTAGAAGCCACAACAGAACATATTGAGGTGCGCTCATGGTGGTTTTATCATATTATAGAATTCAATAATCCCTGAGAATTTCTTATTGACCGACTGCTCACATGTTCAACCCCATTCTAGACACTCCCAACAGGATTTCTTCTAATTGATAAATCCCTAACTACTTCTAAGTTGCGTAGTGACTACCGTCATCGTTTGCTATCCCTGTGGTCAGATGTGGGCTTGGGCAAATTTGAGGAGAAGTGGTTGCAGCTTTTGCCAAAAGTTGATGAAGAGGAAAAACGGCGAAAGGAAGAGGAAGCAGAAGTCCAACAGGATATGCAGCTCGCTCAGGAGGCTGCTCATGCCAAAATAGCTAAAGATTTGAGTATTGGGCTTGATGAGGTGGACATGCAACTAGAAGAACTCAGGGAAATGGTGCTTCAGAAATGCAGAAAGATGTCAACTGAAGACAAGAAAAAACTTGGGAATGGGCTCACAAGGCTGTCTCCTGAAGATCTTAATAAGGCACTGTTGATTGTGGCAGAGAGCGATCCTACTTTCCAACCGACAGCAACAGAAGTGGAGCTTGACATGAATGCTCAGAGTGAGTCCACATTATGGAAGTTGAAATTCTTCGTACAGGACGTGCTACATGCACAGGGAAAAAGCCCAGCGAGCATCGTACCAAACAACATCAATAACAATAATATCCTAAACAACATGTTGGTTACTATGAAAAAGAAACTGTCTGAGATCATTTTGGTTGTGTTACCTGATTGTTTTCAGCCCACTTTGAAGAGGTTAATCATAGTTATGGTTAAATTAATTGAATAATAAATTCTCTTCTGAAGTTAAAAGACATTAAGTCATTATTATGGTTCAAGCAGCTGTATAGTATTCTTATTTCTACCATTTCCCCCTCACTTTATTTTCTGAGATAGTAGATTCTACTATCAATGTTGATGATTACGACTTTCTTTTAACTGCTGCTTCTTTACATAGATTTCATGTATGATTGATCAATATTATGGTTCAAGCAGTTGTATAGTATTCTTATTTCTACCATTTCCCCCTCACTTTATTTTCTGAGATAGTAGATTCTACTATCAATGTTGATGATTACGGCTTTCTTTTAACTGCTGCTTCTTTACATAGATTTCATGTATGATTGATCACTACTACAGTGCTGTTATCACCACTTCAGTTCACTTGCAATAACATATCGACACAGGGTGGGGCTGAGCCTAAAGGGATTCCATGAACCTATGTTCTTTTCTTTTCAGGTATACGTGGCGGGTGGGCGAGATAGGCATCTTTACTTCATACAGCCTAATAATAAATGAGTCAAGTGAAAATATCCTTGATGCAGATTTCTACAAGAAATAAACAGCAATACCTAAAACCATGCCCATAAGCAAGCATTTTGTAAAAAAAGACTTCACCATTAACAAGCAGTTCTAACAGCTGTAAGAACACTTGTAGATCAACCTTAAGCTATAGCATGACAACCACTGAATTGACTGGAAATTGGAAAGACTAAAAAGAAAAATAATCATAATCCTACATGCATGAAGATGGGTGAAGCTCACACAAGGATGCCTATAGTACCATGTGCAAGCATATAAAAAGAGTTAACAAACAGTAAGAAGAGAAATGGAGCATGTAGCTTTCTGCAAATTAGATATCTCATTATACAGATATTTAGATATAACTTTGCTAAGTGCTAAACATTTTACATAACATTATGCTAGCACTCTTGAATATTAACTTTAAAAAACACTTTAAGCTCACTATATTAGTCTTGTACCCCGCGAAATATGATGTGCACAGACGTATTGTGGGAATAAATAGGGTATGAGTACTAAATTTGGATAGCATTCTAAATGTTTTGGTCCTATATAGCAGAATATGGATATAGTCTCAGAGTAACCGAGAAGAGTGATGTCTATAGCTACGGCATTGTGCTTCTTGAGGTCCTAACAGGGATGGAACCAACCGATTCCCCGATACCAGAAGGTGCCCACATTGTTACTTTTAAGGTCTGGTACACAAACATAAGAGATGCTTCAAGTTCTTGGGGTGGCACTACTTTGTGTTAATTCGTGCCCAGATGAAAGACCAACAATGAAGGATGTAGCTGCAATGCTAACGGAAATTAGGCACGAAAATGAAGAGTTCGAGAAGCCTAATCATCTAGGAAAAGGGTCGGTATCGAATCCTAAAGCAGCAGTGCAATGTCCTAGTTTCTCTGGTTCATCTGAACCTCTCATCAAATCACCTCCTCAATAACAGTAATTAACTCAGCCTTTGTCCAGGTCTAGCTAGTTGATTCTTTCTAGTTGACGCAACAACGAGTTAGGAACTGATTTACTGTAAATTAATCGACCAACATCAATCAAAAATATACTGTAAATCGATTACAAGGAACTGATTTACTGTAAATCTACTGTAAATCGATTGGAAGAAGAGAAGTTAACACTGCCCTTGACGCACTGTAAATCGATTTGAACTGATCTACTGTAAATCGATTGTAAATCTAAGAGAAGAGAATTTACCTAGGAAGAAGATGGCCACTGCTGTTTACGCACTGTAAATCGCACTACCGTTGACGCAGTGGAGTTGACACAGCAGCGTGTTAGGTTTTTTTGACGCAGCAGCTAGATAGTTTCTTTTTTTGGCAGCGATTCAACTGGGGAGGGAAACAAAATCAGTTCAATTGTTTTCTAATTGGGAGGGAAACGATGCAGCGATACAACTGGAGAGGGAAACGAAATTAGGTCTATGATTATTCTAGTTGGGAGGGAAACGATAAAGGGTATCCAAAAAAATTGGAGGGAAAAATGTTTCTCTTTTTTGTGTGGAGGAAAAGTTAAAATAATAAAAGATTAATTTCTATTAGTAATTTTTAGTGGCTATTATTTTTTATTGCCAGTAAAAGGATATCTTTTACTGGCTAATGGTCATATGCCGCTAATATTTAAGCTTAAAAAATTTATTAGCGACCATTGCCTTATTGCCGCTAAATAATTGCCGCCAAAGGCCTTTTTTGTAGTAGTGTCACCCTCAGTCGGATGGGCAAACTGAAAGATTCAATCGATGTTTGGAGACCTACTTACAAGCTATGGTGTTTGAGAATCCTAAACACTGGGCTAGATGGTTGCCATTGGCAGAGTGGTGGTATAACACTAACTTTCATAACTCTCTTAAAGTCACTCCCTTTGAGGCCCTTTATGGTCACCCCCCAACTCAACTACCATTGGGAGCTTTACCACATATACACCAAGGGTCGGCTGGGTTGAATCTAACCCAACGACAACATATGCTACAAGCATTGCGTGACAACCTTGTGCATGCACAGTCAAGGATGAAAGTTTATGCAGATCGACTCCGTTCTGCGCGAGTCTTGGAGGTAGGGGACCAAGTCTACCTCAAAATACAACCTTATCGACGGTCTTCTATCAAAGTGAGAAGAAATGTCAAGCTTTGTGCTCGATTCTTTGGTCCTTATAAAGTTTTACAGAAGATTGGCGAAGTGGCTTACTGTTTAGAGCTACCACCAGAATCGCGCCTCCACCCAGTCTTTCACGTGTCCCAGCTCAAACGACGTATTGGACCATCAATATGTCCTCCGCAGCATCCGCCAGCTTGTGACAGTGAGGGTCATATCTTTATTCAGCCAGTTTCCATTTACAAAGGCGTGTGGTTAAGGAGAACAATACCGTTGCAGTTAAAATTTTGGTTTAGTGGGCAAATTTGCGCAAAGAAGATGCGAATTGGAAGGACTGGGGTTACATCAAAAGCCACTTTCCGGCGTAATGTTCTCTTTTGAAGGGGAAGGTATTGTAATGTTCAGACAAGAAAAAGGAAAGTGGTGATACAAACAAAGAAGTAGGGTACAACAGAATTGGGTTAAGTCTTACTGAGCTTCACGTATTGGGCCTTCAGAAGTGAAGAGTATTGGGCCTTTGGGGCCTTTCAGCTAAGAAGGCAGAGTCCAACACACTATTATTCAATTATTCCAATTAGTAGTTAGAGTCGGTTAGTTAAATAACAGATCAGTAGAGAAGTGGGTATCTTTTAACAATAACAGAATGTCCAACTACTTTCTCTCTCTACTTTCTTCTCTTCTCTTCTTCTTCTCCTTCTTCTCTCTAACCTCCATTTCTATTTCTCTTTGAGTTCACTCAAGTCAGTCGAAGTTCATATTGTAATTATTGGATTATTGATCAATAAAGCTTAGTTCATTCCTTGAATTTCATTTTTCAATTTAGTACATTACAATATATATGCAATCAAATCAAATCTGTGGAAACTCATAACTCTAAATCAAATTTCCTTTACAAATTAAAATAATTTTGGATACCGGATATAACTACATTCGTAATTCATGTTTAGAAAGGATATTTACTAGCAAACAAACTAGCAAGAGTAGCAACTAGCCAATAGCGGCTAGAATTTTACTTCTTGTGACAATTCTACAATAGGGAACACTCTATAATAGGTAAAACTGTAAAACATGTTTAAATAGCATCTCGACGGTAATCCACATCTGCATTGTTAGAATATACTATAAGTCATACGCGTTCTGCCGTGGTCCTACCATGGTTACGCCAGGGCCGCAACCAAAGTGGCCTTCAAAATCTGCAGCAGTGTTCTGCCGCGGTCCTACCGCGGTTACGCCAGGACCGCGGCCAGAGTGGCCTTCAGAATCTGCAGCAGTGTTCTGAAGGCCAATTATTTGTTTACTTGTTTAAATTCCATAGTTTCCTTTTAAATAGATCATGTATTGGTTTGTGTGTCCATTGCTTACATAGTAGATGATTTAGTGTATAGAGTTTAGCTTATACACGGAAAATTAAATCATCGGTCCTTGTAAGACATAAAAGTTAATGTTCACAATCTAATGATCGAATTGGACAAATCATCGGAATGGTTGTAGTACAAGATTAAATGTAATTTATCTTGATTATGGGAATAGGTCTAATTCCAACTTCTTGCGCTAATACATTTTGTATGTATTGAACGGATCAAGTAGAGATAAGTATTTTATACTGACTTTATAAAATAATTTCTCTAGTCCATTTAATGTACTTATACTCTTAATACTGATATAATTATTATTAGCTGTGTATGTCACTTGTTGTTTTGATTTACTAAAACGCGAGATTCTTTCGTGAGTCAATAAGCCTGGTAAATTGGATAACAATGATATACATTGGCGAAGTAATAATTAGTTGATGGAATCCATGTCTCGGTTTTGAGATTGATAATATTCCTTTATGAAAGCTTATAAGTTTCATGTGTAAACCCGGCCGGTGGATTTTGTATCCGACACATGAAATAAGTTAAGTGTAAGTCTAAAGGAAGTAATCAATAAATTAAATAGTCAGTAATTTAATTTGATTGATTAGTATCTGAATTTTAACATGGGGAGTTAAATAAGGTTTAGTGGAAGAATTTCGAAATTGAACTAAGGAGTGTGATTACGAATTTTTAGTGGAATAACTCGTAATTTATTATGGTAGAAATTAATTTCAAATTTCGAAATTAATTCCATAGTAGGAAGCCTTGTTAATTAAATTTTGTGGTCCCTACTGTGCCTGAATAATAGGAAATAAAGGAAACCTTTTCTTGGTGGAAGAAGAAAACCTGACAGGTTTTGGAAAAGTGTTTTGACCTAAAAAACGCAGCTATATATATATGGTATATAGCTGGTCGTTTTTTGACACAGAAAAAACACACGTTTTTCTTCCTTGAATTCCGCCCACCCGAAGTTCTCTGTTTTCCGGTTTTTATTTGGGTAACACAGTAGAAGACTGTGGAAGGTTGCTGAGGTCTTGCAATTCTGGAACTGGAGAAGGATATCGATTTGCTTTGTTCACGCTTCAAGAGGTAACTCGTATATTCTCCGTATGTGCTAATTGTTTAGATTACACGTGATTATGATGCTATGTTTGCTTCCGCTGCACAATATGATCCAACAATTGGTATCAGAGCCTACTCACGTCTAATTAAATAATTAGGATAAACCATAAGGATTAATATCATGTTCTATATGCAAGTTTTGAATTACATAAAAAGTTTGTTTTTTCTGAAAACCTGCACTGTTTTGGCGTGATTATCTGTTATGGGTTGTATTGATTATTTTGAAAACTTGAAATATTCTTTTAATATTGGTGATGTTAAGTTAGAATAATCTGAAAATTGAATTTAATCATGAAAAACGTAAAAACAGTTTTGGCCGAATTAGGCAGAAAATCGGAGGTCAACTAGTTGACGGACTCCGATTGACCTGAAACTTGGCAGGTACATGCGAAACGGCCCAGTGAGCAATACTCATCAGCTTTGCTCATGATGTAAGCCGTTTTTTGGGCTTTCGGGGTCGTTTAAATGGTGTTTTTGCTGTTTTTTTAAAAATTCTGAAATTTTTTTTTGGTTGTTTTTAATTCCAGTAATCGTGGGGATCAATTCCCATGGTCTCTGGGGTTAAAAATTAGTGATATAACACGTTGACGTAGGTCTTCTTCCATATCGGATAAAAATATTATGAATAATCACTAGATTATACTAGTCATTGATTACTTGTATTTACTCTCCATCTGAGTATGCATGTTGGTTCAATGGGACTAATATATGTTGAATGTTGATATTCACTTGGCTTAAATTAACAGTTTACTCTCCATCTGAGTATGACCTGTTTAACTTTATGGGATGGATAATCTGTCATTATATATATATATATTGCAAGAATAGCTTCTTTCCCATCGAAATTTGTTGTTCAAGGTGCATAGATTGTGTATATATATAGTGTGTTTTGAATTTTAATATTCAATAATACAAACTGATTTGATCTATTTAAATATTTAATGTCTTCCAGATTGACAATGACTGCTTTCAATCCCCTTACTGCCATTCTTACTCAAAACAAACTTGAGGGTCTGAATTATGTTGATTGGAAACGAAATTTGGATATTGTTCTACTTGCTGAAGAGTACAAATTTGTGCTCGATGAGGTGTGTCCAGAAAAACCTGGAGATGATGCCACAGATGATGAACAAAAGGCTTACCAAAAATGGATTAAGGCTGATGAGATGGCGCGGTGTTACATTTTGGCATCCATGTCAAATTTTCTGCAACATCAGCATTAGTCGATGGAGTCTGCTTATGACATTCTGGAAAATCCCAAAGAAATGTTTGGAGATCAGAATCGTGCGGCTAAGCAGACTGCCATGAAAGCCCTTGTGAATACTAAAATGGTTGAAGGTTCATCGGTTAGGGACCATGTTCTGAAGATGATGAGTCTTCTGAATGAACTGGAGGTCCTTGGAGCTAACATTGATAAGGACACGCAGGTTGAAATGATNCGCCCACCCGAAGTTCTCTGTTTTCCGATTTTTATTTGGGTAACACAGTAGAAGACTGTGGAAGGTTGCTGAGGTCTTGCAATTCTGGAACTGGAGAAGGATATCGATTTGCTTTGTTCACGCTTCAAGAGGTAACTCGTATAATCTCCGTATATATTAATTGTTTAGATTACACGTGATTATGATGCTATGTTTGCTCCCTCTGTGAAATATGATCCAACATGCATAATCCTAAGATTGGTGTTCAAATATCTTATATACCATTTCTTTACGTCTGTACACCATGCATCTAGGAGTTGACCCACTGAGATATTCCTCTCCTATTGATTAACAGAACTACAAACACAAACAAAATAAATAACACAAAAATCAAGAAAGACGATCGGGCAAAATTTGGAAAACGCTAAATAAGAGAGAAAATGGTTTTTTTTCCCCCAATTGCTTACCATCTTTACGTATTTTTTAAGCTTCC